CCCCAAAACCCCAAAACCCCAAAACCCCAAAACCCCTTAAAATATTCAAAAATTGAAAATTTATAAATGGTCATGAGAATATGACAGTTTTATAGTGATCTTAGGTTGTATCTAAATCAAGCTTGTACTCCTCCTTGATAGAATCATCTGGGTCATCATCCTTATTCTTTCGGTAAAGAATTGATCTTTCTAGACCTTCTGTGGGAATAAACAGCTTTGGCTTATGATTGTGCTTCAAATATGTACTCTTAACCTTGAGTCTATCAATATAGACATATACAACACATTCTTGTGTGACATAACACTCCTCTGGGAATATAGCTTTCTTCTTCTGTTCACTATTGAATTTTCATCTGAGCTCATATCGTCCTCTTTTCACTTCTGATTTCTTCTTGATAAATCAGAACCCAAATTGCTTAAAACGCTCAATAGATTCGTTTAGGTCATGAACAGACCTGAAGCCTCTCCCTTGATAGAAGATATCTTCTCCTGATTTTGGAGGATCTAAAAGATCATCGTAAGAAATTAGTTGAATTTCACTATAATTCCCGTATTTTATACGCCTTTTCTTGCTCAATGTCCTCGCTGGATGGAGAACTCGAGGGTTCTTTGCAGGTAGCATTCCAAAAGTCTCCCTCATCATTTCCTTCTTACTCCTCTTGTTAGAGAGTTTGCAATCACTCAGACTATTCTGAGGCATATAAGAAGACTGAGTTATATTTGAGTAAAAATAAGGACTGAATTCAATCATTCCTTTCATCTGATCGGAGAAGTTAGTTACATCTAGAGTATCACACTTGGTAAGACTCTGCTTACTATGTGAGTCCTTGTCTTTTGTACCGGCTATGGTAGAGTCATCTATTCCTTTCAATGATCTATCTGTGGCAACTGATTTCTTTCCAGCCATTATTGATTCAGCTCAAGTCTTTCCCAGGTTCATCTGTTCATTTCGAAAGTCATTATATACAGTTGTGTTGTGGTTCAGCTGCTCAACATAGTAAGGGATGTTCTGGTATGCCATTCCCATAAGCTGCCCTGAATATTGCTGGTCCCTAGTTAAATGGTCATATATCATTGGGTTCATACCCTGATTGATATTTTGATCTCGGTAAAACTGATGCATCGGGAATCCGCTTGGTCCTGGCATTGATGTCATTGGCGGTCTCATTGCTGAATAGAACTGAGGACCATACTCTTCAAGCATTTCCTCATTATGTTGAGGATCCTTTAAACGTCTTAGGAGGTTAAACGACAAAATAGACATTTCTTCGTTACTCAAATGTCACATGGCCTGTAAAGACCCAAGGTACATATGGTCTTGCAACTGAATGGCCTGGAGTAAGGACAAGTAAGTAATCCCAGCTCTACGAAACATCTCTGAAGTTTCCTCTCCTCTGTAAATTCCTGCATCATCAAGTAGCTCCATCAACCTGCTTGAGTCTTCTTCCTTCTGCTCTGTAATATTCTTGTGTTGTCTTTTGTAAGATTTCTGAGTCTTCATATAGTTCTAAATTAAAGAAGGTAAACGTCTGCATTCGTGCTCGAAGATACAAAGTAAGATATCTAATTCAAAGAAATCTTGCTTAATCCAAAGGCTTTAGGCGTACTTAGGCCTTCCAGGTACAGCTGGAGGGGCCACATAGCCTGCTGAGTTCTTGAAGAGGACTTCTTATTGGGCCAGGCTTCTTAAGGCCAAAGCTCTTAATCCATGTTTGGGGTCAATTCAGGTCGAGTTTTAAGTGGCTTTGGGGTTGTTTAATGATTGTTCAGGATCAATGCCTTGATAAGCAGTTTTACTGTAGGGATGGCTAGGAGGTATCTTTTTAGGCATTTTCTATCTTTTAACCAAATTTTGGGGTTTTGGGGTTTTGGGGTTTTGGGG